CCTGCAGGGATATGTACAGATAAAGAAATGTTTCCTCTGGTCTTTTCCATGTCGCAGTAGAAGGTTCGAAGCTGGAAGGCCTGTTCCAGCTCTGCTGCCCCCACTTCTCTAAATTACATTATGGAAAGTTGATGTGATGCTGGCCTCAGTGGAAAGGATGATTCCACCTCATAGACTGTGAGCATTGTCAAGATTTTACAGAAAGCTGAGCCTTGTTGCCTTTCCCAGAGACTCAGGTAAAGCAAGGTGTGAGTGTGCGCGTGTGTACGTGTCCATGTTTGTGTGTTTGCTACACTGGTACACTGGCAGCTTTATATCTGCCTCCTCTATGAATGCCAGTCTGTAAGCAGAGGGTCAGAGAGACTGCATTCAGTGCTCACTGTGTGTGTGTGTGTGTGTGTGTGTGTGTGTGTGTGTGTGCGTGAGAAAGTGAGGTGCTTTGATGAGTCCGATTCATCTTTGTTGAGATCTTAGACTTCACAGCTCACTTGATTAGAGAGAAGTCGATGCACAATGTGAAGACGAGGCCTGCACACAAATTTAGGTTTTAGGAGACAAAGTGAAAAAAGCATCCTTCCAACATTAACAACATCAAACTGAAATGAGTATAGATTCTGCTGTAGCACTTCAATCTAGTCACTTAGATCGTGTTTTCATTTCTATTGCAGCTCATGTAAGTTTTCCAGAGACAATGGATTAAAAGTTAAGAATCAGCAATGAAACAGGACTGCACGATTACAATTAATAGAGGGAACCAGTATTTATGTCTCCATGATGAAGGCATTCTTGTGAGCACGATATCTCAAGAATACCGTGAGGGAATCTCTTCAAATTTAGTACAAAATATTTAAGTTTGGCTGAAGAATGAATTTTGAAAAGATTTCGATTGTCAAAAGTTCAACGTTTTTGCCTTGTGAAGAACGCAGGTAAGAACTCATCCAGAGAATCGCCTTCAATTTGATTCAAATTTAATTTAGACTCACACATTAACTGATTTTATTTGGGTAGTGAAAGGTCATAGGGGCCTCACAAAACGCGTTTTGGCCTCTTGAACATGATACCACCGGTCTGCCTTCAGTTTTGTCCACATATGTGAATTCAGTGTGTGGTGAGACTGTGGTTTGCAGAGGCAGGGCAGGTTCAACCTTACAGGAAAATATTTCACAAAGCTTCTTCAAAACAAAGGGTTCCAATTCTCCCCGGAACTCACAGACAACAAATCATGACGCATTAGCACATTTTCTCTCCAGCACTATTTAGACCATATTTCACAATTTCTGGGAAATACATTACCTGCAGAAATGTGTTTCCATATATATGTATGCTAATTCAAAGAGCCATCATTTCATTCTGCAGAGATGTATATCAGTAAGATTGCTTATCACCGTTGGAGCTACAATTTCGAAAGATTATGCATCGTATTTCATGACAATCCTCCTGGTTTCTGAGATATTTTTCAGTCTGGACCAAAGTGCTGGACTTACTATTTGACAGTCAGACTGACAATGGTGTCCCTAGAGCCATTCAGCTATAGCTGGGCTCAGAACTGACACTATTGAATCATTTTCTGATTCAACATGTCAACCAAGCTGGCTGCCTTGACAGTAGACAGAGACAGGGCCTGCGGCTCTCCTCGGCATGTGACATTATGTTCCATGACTAGCTTGTAAAGTAGCTTGCTACTTTTAGCAAGACTTTTGTTTACCTACTTTCAGTGCAGAGCAGAGCAGTAGCTTCACCATTGGTTTTAAAGAAGCTTAAAAAGCAACTAATCAATCTGTAAAGCAGAATGGAACCATTGGCACGAATGTGTTCTGCATCGCACGTCATCCTGCACAAGATTCAATATCTGCTCACAAAAGTGCAGCACTACAAGAGCAAAAACTCTGCAGGGTATTTTTAGGCCTAGTCTGACAGAGACCGAATACAATCTAACAAGAGCATCTGATTTGGGGAAGATGTCATTTTGTGGTCATCTTGATAAAAAAAAGCAACTTCAATGTGCTCCATTTATAGATTTAAATAATAAACTCTCACAAAAGGAGCCAGTAACAGGGATGCTGATGCGTTGTAAACATAAGGCTCAGTGCTGTTAGTAATTCAGCCTCATTAACACTCTTTATTCCATCCTTCCTCCTTAAATCCCTTCCTAGCTTCTTCCATTGCAACCATCAGCAGATCAAGAGGAAGCTATTTATTACAGCGGTCGTATCTAAAGAGTCCGCGCCGATTCTCACTTCATATTTCAAGCTCATAACAACTTTCAGTGAGAATAATACAGACTTGAAATATGGAAGCACAATCTCCATGTTCCCCTGTCATCAGTTTCTTACACATTGTCCCAACAAATGTGCAGTGACGGGAACAAAGCATCATTATGAACAATGGTTCCCGAACTCTGAACATCTGAGATGGTAGAAATATTTATTTGCATATCTGACGTTGATAATGACTTTTATGGTGAGATTAAGTTTAAATGTATGCATGAGGATTTTCCTTCCCTCTGAATTGTTTTGCTGTTTCAATGGACAAGTTTTCCAGGCAGAATGAATGCAGTTGCCACGTGAAAAAAATCTCGCACAACCTCACATCTAAATGAATATATGGTATCTTTATTACAAAGTTATTCATCATATAGCACAGCAAAGGAAAACTGCTGGGCTTCAAGGTTTGAGGCCTCACTCAGACCTCGACCAACCAGAGAAGATCAAACTAAATTGGCCATTTTATGAGAAACTACTAACTACGTGGTTTATGTGGTTTTATGAGTTTTGCTCTGTTTGATCTGACACTAGTTCATATCCACAGGGGAGTGGGGGGTAATGTACAGGCAAATAGGAGAGCAATGGTGTCAGCCGTCCCACGGGAACTGCTCGACATGGCCAGAGGTCGGCGACCTCCATCACGACTTCCTCTCCGTATCGACATATCTCATCGCCGCCTCCTCTCTCTCCCTCTCATCCTCACTCTTTCATCAAAATTGCACAAAGGAGCAGCTGAGCTACTTGAAGGGGAGATAAAATGGCAGACGGTAATCCAGAAGAAAGAGGAGAGATAAGGAGGAGACAACTGAGGCAGAGCAGATGACACGATTGCCCCCTTGTTTCTTTTCCCATGTTAATTACAGAATTTGTCCTGCATGCTTTCTGCAAGATCTGTGTGAAGCTTGATGTCTCTGAGCCGGTAAAAGGGAGAGGTTTTCATCGACAAAGAGCTGCTGTTCAACCGTCACTGATACACCTTAGCATGAATAAGCGTGGAGTGGAGAGCACGCGAAGAAAGACGAATGAGAGAGTACAAAGTGAGGCCGTCTTCTTGAAGAAAGATTATATTTATATGTGCACACACATTTCCTTTTGGGAACAAGATTATTCAAAAATATTCACACAAGATTGAAAAACTAATGAATGGTAAAATATCTGTATTTATATAGCACTTTTCTATCATTGATGACCACTCACACATTCATGCAGTGCATCTATGGGCAGCACCTTTTCTATAAGAACGGAACAGCTTTCAGGGGCAATTTAGGGTTCAGCATCTTGCCCAAGGACATTTCGGCTCAGGGAATGGGGAAGACTGTGCGTGGCAAATGGATAAGACAGTCAGTATGCTCTGAACACTGATGTCACAGCTCAGGCTGAGATCACCTAAATGTGCTGCTAACATTAACATTATTCTAATATCTTTCAATAATTAATCAGAGTGGTTCTGTCTTGAATAACATTGAGAATATTGTAAAATTGAATTCAAAATGGAAAAAAACCTTTCAAATGAATATGGAGAGACAGAACTGACCTGACCTGCTTCCACGAAAAAAGTGACAGACTTTGAAACAGGACGTTTACAGACATGATCTTGAAATATCTCAGTTGTTGTTTGTATACTTCATGTTACTTACCGACTTAGTTTTGGTGTTTTCCTGCTGGAAAACGGACTTACTGTAGAGATGGGGATCGTACCATATCACAGACCTGCCTTTGTATGTTGTCATGAGATAAAAAGGTGTAAAAGATGGATTTTCTCCCATGCACATGATCAATTGTGCACGTGGAGACATGGCTGGAGAATGATTTGAAGGAGAACTACATAAGAACCTCTTTAGACAGACTGTCTTTGCATGTCACACTTGTTTTATTTGAGCACTTCATGTTCCGCTCAGTCCCGACCAGTACAGCACTGAAAGGCTACACTTGTGAGAAGTACAGAGCTGTAAAGCTGCAGGCCACAATACAATCAATTTAGATTCCACGAGGAAACGGTGACACTACCCTGGAGGGTGATTCAGACCCAGAGGAAAAATAACATTAGAAAACATTCCTGCCCTTCAAATGCAAAGCCTCCAGGCTGCTCTCCGCCTTAGACTCTTGTCATTCCTCCCCTGTCTCTCTCGCGTCCTTTCTGCCAAGGTCCACTTCATCACAAGTCTCACTGTGAATATGAAATATGCTTCGGATGATTGATTGCTGACTAAATTTGCACATATTGAACAAACAATATCAGTAATATCCTTCAATATCATTATTTTCCTCGATACCCATGGACTAATCTCTATATAGTCTGTGGAATGACTCAGATAGAGGAAAAAGATAAAGGGTAAGTATTATAAAAAAGAGTGGCTGAACTTAATAACACTCTTTCTGTCTGCTCGTCTATGTTGGTTCAGTTTCATTCACTCTAGAGTGCTTTATTGGCACCGAAATAATCATTGTGGCTACATATCTCAACAAAATAAAAATAACCGATAGTTTTCATACATTCTAATACTGTGAGAGATGCACCGCCAGTTACAATGAATGGAATGTGCAGGATTTTGTTTGTTACATTGAATCCATTTTGTCACCTTCTAAACAGCTATCTCTTGTAGGAGGTGGACACAAATGGACAAGCAGTGTGCCGTTGTTAAAAAACAGATCTTCAGACGCAGATGCCTTTTATTTGAGTTTTACAGTGATGTCTCTTTCTCTCTCCAACTCCTGTCTCTGCTTCTCGCTGACCAGATGGAGTTGTCAGGAGCAGCCGTCCACCACCAGGCCAGGAGGGATCAGGTGGTGGATGCCTGTCGTATCTACAGTGCATCCAGCCGTAAGAGGCGGGTCCTGACACCTGGAGACCTAAAACACCTTGTGGTGGATGAGGACCATGAGCTCATCTACTGCTATGTTCCCAAGGTGGCCTGTACCAACTGGAAACGGGTCATGATGGTGCTCACAGGTCGGGGCAAATACAGGTGAGTCTGGCACCTGTCACTCAGAGTAGCCTACTAGGGGGCATTTATTAACCTTTTACTTTTACTGCTCTGTGATTGAAAATAAAAATAATAAAGTTGATTTAAAACCAGAGATTACAAAGGATGCAGGGAAATTCATCGTAAGTTAGGGAATAAGATAGAGAAAAATGGCTTCAGAAATAAAACAATAAAAAGGAAAACACAGCGTTGTAAAAATATATTCAAAAGCCTTCAGACGGAACTGTGTTCCCAGAAGAGATTTAAAAGTAGATATTGATTTGTAAGTCTGTCTTGATCAGGCAGGGTGTTCCAAAGTTGTGCCCCAACACTAACAGCTCTGTCCCCTTTAGTCTGATAGCCTGACATGAGTAGAGCAAGTTCCTGTCTGAGGACCTGCAGATTGATAAGAGGAAAGCATTTCTCAACATAGACCATGAAGTTTGTAGAATCCTATAATGGATTGGTTGCCAATGTAGAGACATTAAGAGAAATGTAACGTATATGTAATGTATCTTTTTTGGTAGTAGTGTGGCTGCTGCAGTTTGAACTATTTAAAGTCTATGGATAGTTTTCTGTAGATACCAGTTACATTACAGTAATCTAAAGATGAGGAAATTAAAGCATGTATGATGGTTTCTGTGTGTGACGCTCGGACATGAAAAGATTTTAGCAATGACAGAAGACAAAAGATTTCTATGTGCATGTTGTAATGATCAGATAACAGGATCTCATTTATATCCAGATTGAACTGAAAGAAGGTAGCAGACATCCAATTAGACATTTTATGATGTGTTATCAGCAACAACCAAAATAACAGGTGTGATAGGTGCCTCGCATCACCCATAACCCTGAACCAAATGTATGACAAAAGTAGTTCAGACTTTAGGACCAATTGAAGTTGAGACAGTATTTAAAAATAAGTCATATGTAAAAAGAAAAAAAAGATGCTGCATTGAAATCTCCAAAATCTGAGTTGCCCCGATTTTGGGCTGTCTTCACCTCCAACACTGTAATGTTTGAACGACAAGGACAGTCATTTGGTGCATTCCAACGAGTGTCAAGTACTGCGTCTAAAGTTTAGTGATGCTGGTAATACCATAAGGGTTTTAAAGGTGGCAGTGAAATTAATGAGAAGGAACCAGTTCATTAATTTTCTCCATTCAAATAAGAGACTCCTACCCACTGAACACCAGTCTACAAACCAATCAGTGTCAATTATGGATGCAGGCCACATAGGTGATGATTACAGAACATACGTATGATATACAAATTCCTTGAGTGCGCTTTCTAAATAACAATAAAAAGTAAATCTAAAACTGACTGGTAACAAAGACCTTGGTCTGGACTTGTAGGTGTGAAAATGCCCTCAGATAAGTTTTAGTCATCAGATTCAACTTCGACTTAAATAATTCATCCAGTTAAAAAAGACAAAACCAATTAAAGATTTATAAAGAAGATAAAAGTCAATTCTAGAGAGCATCCGGCAACAACAATGCAAACAAGAAATAGGACAAAACTAAAAAACTGTTGAGAATTGTAGTTACGTCCCTCCATACAAGCCTCATTTCACTAGACATAAATGGTGACAAAAGGACATGAATGCTTTTTTTGTTTAGCAATTGTTCCTCACAGTCACCTGTGCCTCCTTCCACAGTGACCCAATGGATATCCCTTCAAATGAAGCTCATGTTCCATCCAACCTGAAGACGCTGAACCAGTACACCATCACAGAGATCAACCACCGCCTCAAGAACTACCTCAAGTTCCTCTTCGTCCGCGAACCCTTTGAGAGGCTGGTCTCTGCATACCGTAACAAGTTCACCCTCAAGTACAACTCATCCTTCCACAAGCGCTTTGGCACCCGTATAGTCCGTCGCTACCGAAAGAATGCCACACAGGATGCCCTGCTCAACGGCGCTGATGTCAAATTCAAAGAATTCACTGAGTACCTGGTGGACCCAGCCACGCAGCGTGATGGCCCACTCAACGAACACTGGCAGACTGTCTACCAGCTCTGCCACCCATGTCACATCCACTATGACTTGGTGGGCAAGTACGAGACGCTGGAGGAGGATGCAAACTATGTGCTACGGTTGGTAGGTGTTAGCGACTCCCTCCACTTTCCAAGTTACGCCAAGTCCACTCGCACCACAGATGCCATGACAGCCCAGTTCTTCAGCAATATCAGCACTCAACAGCAGATCCAACTCTACCAGCTTTACAAGTTGGACTTCCTCATGTTCAACTACTCCACACCCAGCTACCTCCGGCTGGACTAACAGAGGACAGAGCTGGCACTCTGAGAATTGTTGCCTTGTTTAAGGAGAGGCAACAAAATGAGGGAAGGGCAGAATTTTTTGGAAGCAAAACTTGATTTTAAAAACTGTTGTGGGGTCTGAAATAAACATAGAAAGAAAAGGAAAGAATTCATGCTCATCCGGGCATAGGTGGGATGATGTCACTCTGGGTGATACAGAGAACACTGACTGGATGAGAATGTGGTCCAATGGAGCAGACACATGTAAAGACTAAAATGAGCGGGTGAAGCAGGTCTTCAAGATGTTTTAAAGGGGGAACTTATCCTCAGAGGACAGACTTGAAGAGAGACTCCCCTGATGAAGTTCCCTACACATTTATATAAACTGCTGACAAATTAGGCTGCTTTAGATTGTGCAAAGTAAACAGCGGCCTTGCACGTGCCCCGACCCCAATGCATCGTGGGAGCTAAGCTTATCTCCCCCTGCTCTGATCAATAAAGCAACTCCGCCAAATTGTAAAAGACAATTCATGTCTGCTGCGCTGCCAGCATGGTGTGTTAGCACCCATCACCCTTGCCCTCATTAAATTCATACATTTCAGAGGGAAACTGGCTCATCACCACCTCAAGGACGCCTTGTGATGGATGGCTACTGACTTAATTATCAAGACCTCTACAACTGTAATTATGGTGGCATGGCTTTCAGCCATCAATTTTGACCAATCAAGTTCTGTCCCTGCTCTCTACCATTATGATGTTGGCAAGAGGGACCTCTTGTGTTACACACAGATGACGTCTGCTGCAACAGTGAAGTATGGTAGTGTTTGATAAAACATTCCCTGAAATGACCCTTAACACTTTGGGCCACAGCATGTGGTTGGAAAGGGACAGGATGCCCTCACATGATCGGTTGGTCAAAGACACTCTGCATGGTTGTGAAAGGGTTAAAGGTGCTGAATCTTCTAACCCCTCCCTGCATCCCATCAAGGGTCAACACATCCAGGGCCACACCCACAAACTGTCTTTCTTTAAATTAAGATGATCCTTTTGTCTATATGCTTAGTTTTGTTTGTATTGAAGCATTGCTGCGAGCAGCAATTACCAAAAGATAATTTAATTTGCTTTGTTCATTAAACTAAAATAAATAAATAATGTTTAGCTTTCCTGGGCTTATGAACACTGTAAAATATTTTTTAAGTTGAACTGAACTGTTTTTTCATGTTGATTTCTTTTTCACAACTTGCCTCTGGTGCCACTACGTTATCAGTGCATCACAGCACTTGGGGGGGGGGGTACGTTTTGACCAGTGGCTTTGTCCTTCTGTGTCTGAGATCAGAGATTCATGGGTGATTTTCTATTTCCTGTTGGTCAAACATTTGGCACCAAATGGCTGTGAGAGCTTCAAAGATCCACACTCAGTGTTCAGTACACACCATTGCCACCGAGCAAACCCATGGGACGATTACCCCGTCCCCAACGACACCAGGAGAATTAGCTGCTGTTCTTTGTGTCCATATCAGTAATCTACTGCCCACAGAATCAGATACTATCCCATACTGAAATGTGATTAATGTGAGCAATGCTGAGCAATGTCAAGTTTAATAACTGCACTCTCCATCATGCTGTGAATTGGATTAAGGGCTGTTGTGTAAGCATTACACAGGAGGGAGCATGAGAGAGCAGGAGGGGAACAGATAACAGGTGACCTGTCTCACTCACAAAGACAAGAGGGAAAGAGACTCGTTTTGTTTAAATCACTCCACCTTCAAACATTTTTGAAAAAGCTGCATCACTTTGTTGTATTTGATGGAACCAGAGATTTTCTCTCCCTCTGCTTGTCAGAGTTTAACAAAGCCCTCTTTTAAAGGGGTATTTTGGAGTGATTTATGTTGTATCCATCACTCCTGCTGGTAAATAACTTAAATAACAATAAATAGCTCACAGAATCCGTGTTGAGGAAATTGCAGATGAGCCCCAAAAGCCCCAGGTTCTCTGAGTGAAAATTGGTTCGTGGTCATCTGATTAATTGTAACTTTGTTTAGGAAGTTGTGCGTATGCACTCGTAAAAGCACAACATCAATTGCGTGATTTACTCATCACATCTGAATGTGCGGCATGGCCCCGCTGCAGAGTTGACAGTAACTAGCACCTTTGCCTGTGGATTCAACCAATGAATTGGACAGCCTATATGTGCACTGGTCACTAACTGGCAGAGTTTATAGTCAGGGAGAGGGAGGTCAAAGTTTCACAAAGCATTTTCATTGGACACAGTAAATGCGACTGAGTTCAGAGTGAGTCATCAAACATTTAAACAAAGAGAAAGGATAGATTTGGATACAAAAAATACGATGACATTGGTTTTATAATAATCTGATACTTATTAACTGTGGTATCATCTTCAGTGTAGCTTTGCAGTGTATTAACACATTGTATGCACTGTCAGGAATGTACCATGTTACTTCTACTAAACTGATTGATTACTTTATAACTCATAATGAAATTCAAGGACAGATTAGCTCCACAATAAAGTTTTGTTTTGTGGTGACCCCGTGTTTTTAAGATTCAGTTGGTAAGTGAAATATCAGCAGAACTCTCACATAACTTGAAATATAAACATATGGTTGTAAATGTTTTGGTTCCAGACCTCATCATGTAGTTTCCGAACCATCATTAGTGCACGTGTGTACGTGCCTGTGTGTGGCTTGTGATGTGTCTAAATTTCCTGTTTTTACCCTCACAACGACATCTGGCACCAATAAAGTAGAAGCGCCACTAGTAGCGCAGCCCCGGGGCTGCAGAAACAATGGCTGTATTCTCAGCACAGCTCCGCCACATTAGCACTTCTGCTGATGCTCATGCCACTCAGCATCTTACCCAACAGTTTGCAGGCAGAGGCGGTACCTCTCCACTTTAACAAACCAACTGAGCCTTAACATAAACTGCTCATTTAGCCTCAGAATGGGAGGCAAACGACACACGAAGGAGCTCTTAAATTACAAACAAGTCACCACAGGGGCCTCTTTTCTCCTCTCCAGCTTGCTCCAAAAGAGGCATCCTGTATTAAAAAACAACAGGATCGAGTCAGTGTCAATGATCCATAGCGTCCCTGCAGGAAAAAGGGCAACCTGTTTAAACAAACAGAGGTGGTATAAAATCCCCACAGAGAACTAAGTGAGCACTGAGGCCATTGCTGATTCCCTTCCTCAGATGGAGACACTCTAGCACAGTTGGAGTGCCTTTGTCCTCATTCTTTATTCCAGTCTGCATAAACCCAACCATTTTCACTGCCCAGCTGTCTCATTCTGTTGGAGCGATTATATTCAAGTCAAGCTGACAGCTTTATTTATGTTGTTTTTGAACGACGTCTATTATTAGACTGAAATATTCATTTGCTGTTTTGCCGAAAACAAGGGACATCCTCAAAACATATCTGATTATGTTTTTCTCAAGGCCGACTGGATGATTTGTGCTTGTGTCTTTTATATAACTATCACAAATTGATGCATCTTTACATAGAACAAAGCCTTGTGTCATACCAGGTAGTTATCAACAGCAGTTAAAGGCAAACTTATATGATGCTATCAAGCTCTAGCCAGGAGCCACTGCAGCTGAGCTGAATACCTGTTAGCTGTAGCTTCATGTTTGTCATACAGACATGGGTGTGATATAAATCTTCTCTTCACACTCTCAGGAAGAAAGTGAAAAGTGTTTTCCCATGAGAAAAGGCTGTAATGTATATTAAAAAAAGTTTTTCCTGTTTCATTCTGGATCATGTTTGGCACCAAAACAATATTTATGAAAAGAAATTCCTGTAGATATATTATCATGGTTCATATCATCGGCACAGAAGGACAAAGCAGGAACTTTTCATCAGCTTCTCTCTGTCTGTTTGAGTTCTGACATATCTACAGTTGAAAAAGCAGATTTTTGTACAGTGTAGACATAACGTTATTAACGCCGCTGCTGTTTTTCAGCTGGTAGGTCTGGATATTATATAGATTAATTACTCTGGTTGCCTCACGCGCACACAAACACACAGACCCGTGTCATCGTCTGTGAATTTAGCTTGAAGGATAATTCTAGTATATTGCAATGTCAGTGGCTGAGGTCTGAGAGAATATCAGAAAACATCAGTGGAATAAAATTCAATGGGCCAAGAGACTTGAGCAGTCGGAAAATCACATAAACAAGCCAATGGTTCATCCACTTTGTTTGGAGGAGGATACTCCAGAGGGGAGGGCAGATTATGAGGATGTCATATTTCTGCCTCGTAAAATTCATGGGACATGGTGACACGGGACGTACACTCATGACTCTGTGACACAGGAGAATATTAGTCTTCTTGTAAAGGAATAACTGTTGCACGTCCACCAATGAAGACCATGCGAGGCTGGATGAAGATGATCCTGCTGCGTCTACAAACCGACTGCTTGAAACGTTTTTTGTAAACATCCGTCACAGTTTATAGACCGACCTCTGGCTTTTGACTTTAACCTTCCATATTATAGAAACTTCTTCTCATGAACTGAGTCTTTTGAGACTGTCGACTTGTTTACCACCTCTTTGTTTTTCTGACCACTTCTGTTTCCTGCTCCTTTTTATTTTGCCGTTGCGTCGTCTCTTCTCCTGATCCCAACAACACATTTACAAAGTACAATATTTGATTGAAAGAAATTATGATCAAAACTTCAGTAGAATTGTCCTTTAAAACAAGTTGCTTTATCTGATCTCTACCAAGATGCGTGATGCTATTTTAAGTTTGTTGTCATGTCATGTCCTGCATAGGCCCAGTGAAGGACACAGTCAATTCATTTTCTTTGATAAATCAGTGCGAGTGGAAGGCTCACTACATGTTGAGAGATGAATACATTATCACATGTTAACGTGAGCCTGCCACGTTTCATCACCTTTCACTGAGCAGAGGTCACACACCTCCAGATGTTGTGGATGTTGCGCTGTTACCTGACCAGCGTGTGTGTGACCTTCTGAGAAAGTTGTCCAAGATCAGCAGTGTCTGTGATTGGATTCATACCACAGCAGCAGCATTTTATCTTGTGTTGTACAATTGGAGCTCTGTGTGTGTGTGTGTGCGTCTGTGCTGTACCCGCTCTGCCTTAGAGCTGTATT